CATTCTTTGTATGGCTGAGTGACCTTTCATTGTATGGGCTACACCACATGTTATTTATCCATTCATGGGTTGATGGACTTTGAAGTTGTTTCCACTTTTGGCTATTGTAGATCATCTACTTTTCTTTTTGGGTAATTCCTGTTTTAAGTTTTGGGGGTAGATACCCAGGAGTGGCATTGCGGGGTCACGTAGTAATTCTGTTTGATGCGCCATCAAGCTCAATCCACAAGTTCTTCCTTTGCTCAGTCCACAGCAGTGTGTGGGCAGTATGAGCCAAGATAGTGCTAGCCTAACTCTTCAGAACCAGCGGTTCTTCTTCCTGACTTCTTGTTCTGTTACAAACTCGATACGTGGAACCAGTTGACCCCCTCTCTCTGCGCAAACCCCACCGACAGAGCCACCCAGACAGGCTGGGACACAGGGCTGCTTAGTGCAGAGCCAAGGAAAGGAACCAACAATGCAGGACGTCTCACTGACAAGAAGCAGGGTCTCCCAGTCAGAACCCTCCTGTGTTATAGGCTGTCTGCTCACCTTCGCTTTGGAAGGAACCTCTTAGACTGGCTATGTTTTAGCCCTAACCAGGATCTTGACCAGTTGTGCTCCTTGCCTTCCTCATTTTAAGGCTGGGAACAAGCAGTTTGCAAAGCAAATTAACTGAGGGCTATACGTCAGCTGACCTAGCCAGCCTAGAACTTGGGTGCTATGTCGAGTGCTGTGTATGAATCCCTGCCCCTGCCCTCAGGAACCAGCAATCTACAAATAGAGACCAACACTGTCTAGTTCCAGAGCATATGGTGTGATATTCCATTAAACATACAGAATTTAAACCAAGGGCTTAAATCTATACCATAGGATGTAAGACATTCAGGAAGGGAATATTCAAAGCAGAAACATTCATTTGGTTTTATATACTGCTAAAGTGTGTAAAGGAGCTCTGGTAGTGTAGTGGTTACGAACTGGGCTGCTAATCTCATGGTCAGCAGTTTGAAACTACCACCTGTTTGCGGGAGAAAGATGAGGCTTTCTGTTCCCGTAAAGATTTACAGCCTCAGAAACCCTGTGCAGGGTGGCTATGAGTCAGAACCGACTCCATGGCATCCAACAACAACAAAGTGTGTAAGGAGTCCTGGTGTGGCACTGTGGGTTAATGCACTGGACTGCAAAGTCGGTTTGAACCACAAGGTCAGCAGTTCAGGCTCACCAGTCACTCCTAGGGAACCCTATATAGGGTCACTATGAGGCAGAATCGACTTGACAGCCCTTTACAATGACAACAAAGTGTCTCGAAAATATAAGCTGACTCGGGACCAGTAGCCATCCTGAATCACCTCTTTTTGTTCTTAGCACTTGACTGAGGAAAGAGTGAGAATTCCTTCTGTAAAGCAAATAGGGTGTCTGCACACATACAGTGCTTTACCCTTTTCAGAGTGCCCCATGTGCATTGCCCACTGACCGGAAGCCCCATGAGCGCAGGGAGCTGGCCATGGCTCAGAAGAAAACCCGTATCAGGCCCCTACTTCATTTCCTGTATGTTCGATGCCTAGGCCGTGCCTGGCGTGGAGAAGTACTGCAAGAGCACACAACAGGAACATGAATGGATGAAGCCATTCATGCCATTTACCTTCACCCATGAAGCGGGCAAAGAACCTATTTAATATGCCCATCTGGCAGTTAAGTAGACTCATGGAGGTTTACGTATGTAGTCAGCTGGCAGAGCTAGAACAAGAATCCAGCCCTTCCTCTCCCACCTCTCCCCAGCCCCAGCCCTAAGGCTCCCACTCTTGTACTCAGAACTTGAAGAAATTGGGAGAGATCTAAGGTGTATTAGAGAAACCAAGCTCCTATAAGAGGGACTACTGCTACAGGGCTGCCTTCCTTCCTCAAGTACCTCTGGTTCTCATTCACTGAGGGGTGTTGTCTGGGGATGATAGTAGATGTTTGCCACAGACCACTATCTCAGATCAAGGCGGGAAGGCAGCAGAAGAGGGACTGAGAGAGGACTTGGCGGGAAGTCAACCTCCATGGTTTTCAGGCCAGGGGAAAGTTGTGCCCTCTGCAGTCTTCTGCCTCCCGCTGCTATCCTGCTGAGCTGGGGCTCCTCAATTCTTAGAGGAGAGGCTGGGGGGACTTTCACGCCTAGCCAGTCCCTGGAACACTGGAGAGCCAGCAATGCCCAGGGGCAGAAGGGAACACTAACTGTGATCTGAAAAGAGCAGGAACTGAGCAGCTCAGGTACTGATCACAGTGGGGATACAAGGAACCCAGAGAGCCCAATGGCCAAACGCCTCTGCTCAGCGCCCCGTTGCCACTGTGTGACCACTCAAGAGCAAGTCTTCCACAGCAGTAGAGTGGTGGCCTTGCCTGGGAAAAGGAGCCAACCTCACAACCAGAACGGATTTGCATGTTCCAGACACATGGGTCTGTGTTCTCCTCTGCTGGGGGGCTCCCCATCACCCCCTTACTACTCCCTCTCACAACCTGTATTTATTTACTCCAGGGGCTAGGTTAAAAAGAAGGCAAAATGGAGCCCTTAGCCTAGCCTCGCCCAGGATGGGGAGAAGGACCCACAGAGGTTCTGAACTTCTGTGTTGATCCCACAACTCCCGAGGGCCCATTTTCCAGGTATAACAACACCATTGTTCTATTGGGGTACCATTTTTAAAGTTTCACTCCTCTTCCTTCTCAGCAGCCTCAGGTCTGCAGAGCAGCATTTAGAGAGCCCAGGGAAGGAAGGGCAGAGTCACAGGAGGGGCCGTGGGGGGGATTCCTGGCTAGACTCCCCTGGAGACACTGCATATCTGGGCCCAGGGCAAGCCCAGGCCAGCTCGGCATCTTGGGGGTCCTGGGTCAGGAGGACCCTGATGAAAGTAGCATGTCTTGGGTTGTATCTTTCTCCATTTTTTCAAGCTGACTTGGAGAGCCCTTCCTATAACTCTGAATTAGAGGGGCTCTGAGTGCAGGCTCTGTACACACTGCAATCCCAGGCTCCACCCAGGAAGGGCGTGCTTTGCATCTAAGAAGTGGGAGGAGGGCATGGACTCAGAGACTACCACAGCCACCTGGAGGAGAGGGCAGGTGAGAGTTGGCAGGCTGGTGTGGAGGAGGTAAGAACTCATCCAGGGAGGGACCCACAGGCTGTGTACCAGATGGATGAGCGGGCAGGGAGGTGCCCCAGCTTGGAGAATCAGCGGAAGGCACAGACTCAAGGCAGGAAGCCAAACTCAGGGGCATTCCCAGCCTAAGGCAGGTGAGCAGGTGGGGCTAAGGGCACAGGGGCCCCCACCCAGAACCTAGCACCTACCTTCAGGGCTGCCCGGCCCCCAGCAAGCTGGAGAAGTGCCTGAGTCACTGTGGCTGATGATTCTGCTATTTTTAAGTCCAAGTCTGGTTAAAAATAGCCATCTAAGCCAAGGTTTTAGCTGCAGCTGACAAGACAGTAAGTCTTAGATACCTGAGCCCACAAGTGATAACCATGTGTCTTTTCCTTTGTCCATTTTCTGCTTCTGCTCAAGCAGGTGGGACATGGCTGTGAGAAGGCTCCTAAGAACCACTTCCAGTTGCTTCCCAAACTTTGGGGCCTGTTGTGGGACAGGCCCCTGAGCCCCCTTCCCCAGGGCCTGCTTGGGCAAAGCCAAGATCCTCAGCACACAGACCTCTGGGCAGTCAGTGCATGCTGCCCACAGGGGTGTTGGCTCACAGGGATGAGGAAAAAGCATCGGAATTGGTACCACCTGCACCAGTCATGCTTAAAAAGCCCTCATGTTCCCACTGGCCCATTGATTGCAGGTCCCAGCTCCAGTTTTGGCCTTCCCCCTGCCAGCATGATCACACAGTTCAGCACCCAAAGTTCAAATGCTAAGGGCACTCAAGGGGGACCCAGGCCATCCCCAACCAAATGTCACCCTGAGAGTGATGAAGGGACTTCAGGCGTGTCCCAGCTGGAGACTATTGGACGCAAACCTTTCTCCTTTCACCTTCTCACCTCAAAAGAAGCCAACAAGGCATAAACCAAGGCACAGCGTGGAATTGTGCTGGCGTGTGAGCAAATGTTAGGTGCTAGCCTATTTTGACAAGTTTCACAGCTTTTAAAATAATCTGCAGCTTCCTAAGTGTATTCAGTTCGGGTGTGAGGAGTGAAGGAAGGCACTCTATTTATACACCAGAGCCCAGACCTCGCAGTGGCCAGCTGGAGACTCTGGCCCTCAGGACAGGAAAGCATCCGTTCCTGTTTGCACAGGGCTTTCAAGAGATTGGAAAATAGAAGCACCCCCATCCTTTCATGTCTCGCAGCAGCAGCCAGAGTGGTGGGTGGCGCTCTGTGGTAGAGCCTAGAGGCACCTGCACAGACCCTGGAAGAACTAGAGTCAGACTCAATTCTGGCAGGTGGACCTGTGATTCGCAAAATGAACCACCCAGGAATCACGCAGGAAGACATTGCCCCCATCGGGGCGCATGCGTACATGTGTGATGGGGGAAGGAAGCTTCTCCGTCTATCCCGGACGGAGAGCCTCACGAGACTCATTGTGGCAATCAAAGGTAACCAACAGATTACCAACCATAGATCAGAACACCCCCGGCCAGCAGCCCAGTGACAAGCCACATGCCATCTCAAAGCCGAGTGACTGCCCTCAGCCTGTCGCACCACGTCTCCCGGCTCTGGTTTGGCTCAGCACATAGTGGTTGTCTGAGCGGAACAGCAGGCCCAACACTAGGATTCCAGCACCTCTGCTCTGCTGATGAAACCCCAAGTGGCCAGCTGACTGATGTTGCAGCCCCAACACCAGCTTTTCCCTCCCTCTGCCCCTCTCTGGGCGCTTCCAAGCTCTCCCTGGACACCACCTGGGCCTCTGTTGCCTGGGGCACCTGTGAAGACTGCAGGGTGAACCCAGAACTCAGCAGAACCTGGCCAAGGGTGGCGGCCTCAGGGGCTACCGGGGAAACCTGCCCCTTCTCAGTGGGTCTGCTAACTGCCTGCTGGCCTTTCTGTTTGGTTCTTCCAGTGAGAAGCGTCACCTTCAAGTCAATGTCACCAACCCGGTGCAGTGCAGCCTGCACGGCAAGAAGTGCACGGTCTCCGTGGAGACACGGCTCAACCTGCCGCAGCCCGACTTCACCAAGAACCGCGCCGGCTTCATCCTCAGCGTGCCCGGGAACTGAGTGTCCACGCCCGCGGGGCCTCGCAAGGAGCTTGACCCCCCTGGAACCATTCGGCCCGCTCAGCACCGCAGGGGCCAGTCTAATTGCTGAACCCTTCGCTAACGGTCCCCCTACCCACCCCAGAAATCAGTTCTCCAAGCCCTCGCTTGAGGAGGGACGCCCACTCTGCTTTCTTGAAGACCTCTCCCCCATGTAAGGTCCCTTCTTGGTTTTGGTCTCCATCTTCCTCTGTCCTGATTGCCCACTGTCCCCACTCAAGAAACCAAAGACCCTAGTGCCCTGCCGCAGACCCCCCGGTCTAAGGTCACACTCAGGAGCGAGTGTGGGCGCCCTTGCACAGCCAACTCAAGTCAGTACCCCTCTTACCACTGGCCAGCAGCTGGAAAGCAGTGGGTGCAGTTTTCCCAGCCAATGATGCTCTCCCTTCAGAGGGCTGGGGGAGACCAGGTAAAGCGCAGCCCTGCCCTGGGCCTCCTCCCACAAGCTGATCACAGCCCCGGGCCTGAGGGGCTCAGGGAGGCGCTTCCCCACCTGGAGCAGCCGGCGGCCGCAGGCACCAGATGAGTAGGTTCACCTGTGGAACCCAGCTAGCTGGGAGTCCGCCCGCCGTTCCCAGAGCCCACGTGTAGGATGGCGCCTGGCGCATCTTCCCCAGGCGAGCGGCCGCCGTGGCTACTGATAACGAGGGGTGCATGCAGGTCGCAGGCCTGCTATCAGACAGCATCGGCTCTGCTGCAACCGAGACCCGCGTCAGGAATACTAATCAGCGAATGGAATCGCAGAGGCCACGGGAGCGCCGGTTTGGAAGCTTTCCTTGTTAACATCTCTAACTGCGTTTCCTGTTCCTTTTGAGAATTGCGACAAGTGGGCCACGAGGCTACAACACACGGAACCATGGGAAGGGTCCTGGCACTGCAGGCCAGGCCAGGACACCCCCCTCCCCGCAGCCCTACCAGAGCCCAGGGCCCAGAATCTGGGGCCCAGGCTGCCGGCCACCCGTACCTCATGCTCAGAGGGTGCCGCCATCTGGCCACTTCTGCCCCCCCCCTCCCTCCCGCACAGGCCTGCGGGATCCCAGCCTCCTCCCAGGTGGGAACCTCCAGCCTCTGGTATTGGGGATCTGGAGAAGCCGGGCAGGCTGTACAGGAGGGCCACCTACTAGCTACCGTTTTCTTCACTTCCTGCCCCGCTCTCATCCTCCCTCTCTGACCCAGTAAATCACCCCAAGTGCCTAAGTTCACCTCGTGTGCCTGGTCTGGCTCGTTTGGGGTCACCCAACTGACCCCAGTCGTCCCTTCAGCCTGGTTTCATGCCCACGTTTGCACTGTGTGCAACTTGCAACAAAGAACCCTGGGGGCATCCTGTCCTCAGGGAATCCATTTTCGTTCTCCAAGTCCAGCCCTCGCCCTCCGAGGTGCCACCTGCCCCGTTCGGCCCTGCTCAGTTTTGCCAATAACCTGTAGATACTAGCGGAACTGTCTAACTGGAACTTTACCTCTCGTTTCTACTTATTTTCCAAACTTGTGGCTTTACACTAGATACATGCAAATGTATGTTTTAAACACACCAAAACAATATGCCAAATGAGTTGCCTTCTCAGAGGCTGGAGAGGACCTGAGGGTTTAGGGTTTTGATTCCCTTCCCCTTTTCTCCCCCGGCCTCTCAATGTTGCTTCTGGGTCCTCAGCGCCAGGGCCTCCCCAGGAGGGTGAGGGGACCCGGGACTATTAACAAGCACTTTTTTCTGACGTCCGACAAACAGCCGTGATGTATGATGGGAGACTGAAGAAGGATCAGGAATTGCGGGTGCGATCCTGGAGAAAGAAGGAAGGGGACTTGGTGATTATATGCAATGAAGTGTTTCTCTAGATTTAATTAAATGCAGTTTTATGGTTTGGTGCATATATTCTTACTTTTCATTAAATTAACTTTATTTCTAAAGCATATTTTGATTTACCATCAAGAGCAATAAAGCATTAAATCTTATTTTTAAAGGTGTTCTGTTTATCTGGACTTGACTATAAAGTATGTAAAAATCCCATTATTGGGCTATTTTTCAACTGTTAGCCTAGAGAATGAAAGAAGACTTAAAGCCAAATAATGTAAAATTACACACCTAGTGAAACACTGGACTTATTCTGAAAGGTCCATGTTTCAGACCCACTAGCCGCTCCTGGGAAACTATACAGGGTCACTATGAGACCAACAGTGTAAATTGAGGATAATTCACTGGAGGCTTTTGAAGGAAACATACTGTGATGGAGAAGGAAGCTGTGGGAGGAGGAAGGTGATGAGGTGAGCACTTTCCTCCGCCAAGGTGAGTCTTCTTCTCCAGAGCCGCCTGGTATCAAGGAAATGGAAGTATGTGTGTAGAAAGGAAAAGTCCAGGTTCCCAGGAGCATGGCAGGGAGGTCTGAGAGAAAGGTCAGCCTCTTGGGGGGGGGGGGGGAAACAATAGTGGGGGTAGTAGCCAGAGGGTAAGTAAAGTGTTATCACAGGCTGAGGAGCTGGGGAGGAAGGCTGGAGGTGCCTTCAGGGTCCAATGTGTCTTCCACAGTCTGCAGTGTGTGCTTTATGGTGGGAAGAGTGGCAAGGCCCCGAGAAAGGCCTTCCTGGCTCAGCCCCAGGTGCTTTAGTCCAAGGGCAGCTCCAGACTGCCCAGAACAGCTCTCTTACTGAGGCTCAGGAGGAGCAGGAATGGGCTTCTTTCTTGTGGCCCAACCCCCCAGCCACAGGACCTGGAGTGGCTGTCTATCTGAGAGGCCCAGGGCTAGATTTCTCCTCCAAAATTTGCATGGAGCTAGACTGGCAGGATTGGGCCAGAAAGTTCACTCAGGCCAGCCTGGGTGCTTCTGGGAGTAGGCACAAGGCAGAGTCAACCCTGGGTACACAAAGGGGCCGCAGCCTTCAGTACAGAATCAGGCTCCAACATAGGGAGTCTGAGGCCCCATGCCCCTGAAGGACTCTCTTCTAGCCACATTGTGCCTGGCCCTCTTAGGTAGAGGATCCCAGCCAGCCAGCTCCCTGCCAGGGAAGCTTTCTGCAAAACACCCCTGCCCTGCTGTACCTTTAAGCAGCTGATTTAACCTTAATCACCTTAATGGGTTAAGCCCTTTCCCCCAACTCCATCCCTCTCTCCCCTCCTCCATAACACAAATCCAATGAATAATTGAATAATTTCTTAAAGGGACCCCCAACCTACTTAGAAATGACATCCCCCCCCCCCCAAAAAAAAAGAGGTGGTCTATGTAACGGATGGTCAGTGCATTTTTATTTAATCGGCACAGTACAAAAATAAATCAAAATAAGGGGAGGGGAATTAAATTACAGCCAAACTGAGCTCCATGACTTTGTCAGATTAAAAACCACACATACTCACAAACACACTACATACATACAAAATGAGACAAATATAAATTAATGTTAACAGTACCCACAGTTTGGTCAAAGAAGAGCTACGGAAGAAATTGCACTATAAAACCAACACGTCGCGCGTGGATTAGCAGTCTCAGATACACAGCTATGAATAATTTCAAGTGAAAAAGAAAAAATGGCACATTTTCTTTTCATTGCAAGTTTAACACCTGTTGGAACAAAACTAAATCCTAGTAACTGCATGGAAAGAATATATCAACCCTTCAGGTTCACAAGAGAAAGAGAAAAACCCAAGTCCTGAACTATTATTACCCCTGTGGCCTGTTCTGTGCATGGGTGTCGTGTTCACAGCCATCTGTTCTAAGATTATTTTTCGTAAGACACAAAATGCTCCTGGTTTGCATGCACATTATCACTGTAAAAGCAACAGTTAAAGAATAAAGGTTTTCGTAGGTTAGTTTTTGTTTTGTTTTTTTGTCCTTTTTATTGTTCTAAAAGTAGTCTCGTAGCAGCACGTCGTCCAGTGGGTTCGTTGCTTGCACACTCAAGTGTGTCAGTGGTTCCTTTACACAATACTGATGCCAGTGCAAGGGGAGGGAAACACAGCAGGCTCCACAGGGGTGGAACTGGAGAGGTGCAGGCCCTAGTCCCCAACCACTCCTGAAATCTGCACCTCCTCCAAACAATAAATAAATACGGAGAGAGAAGGAAACCGACAGAAAGCTGGAATCCTGCAGTGTGACTACAGCATGTGCTCTCCACCGACGCCTTGGCTTCCCAGGCTCCCTGGCCATACCAGCCTGGAGCCAGCTGCCCCCATGGGCACACGTGGCAACAGGATCTGAACAGACAGGCTATGTGACAACTCCAGCAGAGAAGATTCGTTGCAGTTTTGTTTGTGCCTGCAGCCGCAGACTCCCTCCAACTCTGCATGGAATTGCTGCAGTCCTAGGAACGGCTCAGGTGGCCTCGGGGCAGATGCTCTCCCAGCTTGGCAGGCCCTTGTCCCTATCTCCCAGGAACCCACGGGCTGGCAAGATCACCATGTGCTCCAGACTTCTCCATCCAGGAAGTCAATTCACAGCTTTCTCTTCTTTTATGGAAGTAAATTTCAGTAGTGCTTGTGCTGAAACCGGCAGCCACAGAAACCCTAATCCTATGTAAGACAACCCTCTGCACCCCCAGCCTCAGCCCAGCACTCCCCACGTGTGGGCCTGGAAGAGCCAATTCTGGGTGGTAGCATCATCATGTTGAGTCTTTGTTCACCAAAGCCAAGTGATAGGCCATGGAGGAAAACTGGCTCCCTTCTCTCAGCCCTCCCCCAAGTCCCAAACCACCAATCTGGGGGGACTAGAAAGCAAATAAAGTAACACATCATATGTTTTCACAGTCTGTGGGGTAAGGTGGGAACCAAAACCAGCAGCTACAAATGCTCAGTGGTGGACTCAGCAGGCCCCAAAAGCAATCAGGAGTCACGCTCCCAGCCTGGAAATGTCTCACAGGACCTTGAGGGCCTGGGCTTCCTCTTCAGTAAAAACGGAACTGTTTGAAAAGAGCTTTAAATGAAGAGGAGTGGGTGGGGGGGTGCCGGGGTACATTATTACCACATCACTGTAATCCGTGACATCACCTCCCCCAACTCTGCAGGGCCAAGGCCATGTGGTGGGCACCCCCGCCCCACTGCCCAGAAGGCAGGCTCTGGCCAATGGGCCCCTGCAGCTGTCTGACATTCACCACAGGGTGACTAAGAGACATGATTTAAATGAATAATTCACCCAGGAACAGGAGCTGTCTCCAGCCTTACCCCACCCCTTTAGCTGGGACCCAACAGAAAGAACTTAGTAAGTCAAACCAGCTCATTAGCCAACACCAGCAACACTGCTGGGAGCAGTAGACAGGTGAGGAGGGGAACAAGTCCCATTCCTCCAGTTAAAGGCAAGCCCTTCTCCCTAAAAAAGAACAAAGAGCAAACCAGGGCCGTGTGTGGTCAATCGGCAGGGCACCATCTCGCCACTGGACCCACCTTCTCCAAGGAAGATGTGGATCCAGGGCCACAGCCGTCGGCCTCAGGCCCACATGTGGCTCGGTCAGGCCTCTCAGAGGATGAACCACCCCAAGCAGGAGCCAGAATAGGGCCTCCAACCCAGAAACTCCAATTCCTCCCTGGGTTCCCAGGCCAGATATCCCTCTCCAACCCCATCCAGGGGGCTACAGGCAGGTTTGCCCACCCTGGTTCCCGAGAGGGCACAGGCAGTGGAGGTGGGCAGGTCCTTGGAGCTCCCCAAAGTAACAGCTCACTGGCCTGGGTGCCTCTGAATACTTCTGGGTTTTTCACAGGATTCATGAGTTCAGAAGTGCCCAGAGAGTTGTTGACAGGGCTGAAAAAAAAGACCCAAGGAGAGAAAGTGGGAACAGGGATGCCCTTGGTGGCTTTGCTAGACACATACTGTACACAAAACTGATGTGTTTGATACTAATCTTTAAAAAAATGAATTGAATCCTGAGCCATGACACACGCCATGGGGCTCACCGATCCAGCCCTAGGAGGAGCCTTTTCTTGTCCTCCTGGCTGCCCTCATTCTTCAGGTCGGAGAACACCTGTGTGAAGTAGTGTGGATCGGCATTGATCTGCAGCATCTTGGAGCTCATGAGGTTGATGACTGAGAGGCAACGGTCCCAAAAGGCCTCCTTACAGCTCTCCACCAGGAAGGGCTTAAGCGGATAAGAGATCTCATTTCCCATGTAGGAGTAGGAGAGGTACAGGCAGGTCAGCAGGACTGCCTGGAGCTCGTGGTCAGAGCCCACTTCAGAGGAGATAACATCCCTGCAGAGCATGTAGAGGAAGACCACGTTGGCAGGGGTGATGAAGCCCTGGTCCTGCCAGCCCTGCAGAAGCAGCGAGCGGTCCACGCTACGCAGCCAGAGCACAGGGTCCGTGGGGGATAGGTGCTTCAAACGGTAGCACCGGCGGCAGAGAAACTCGCCCAGGCAACGTAACAGCTCGCTGGTGGACGCCTGGACAATGACCCGTTTGGGCGTCCCTGCGGTGGTGATGGCAGGGTGTGGGGCCTTCTTGACAGAGGACGAGACCCCGGTCTGGGAGCCCGAGAGCTGGCTGGCAGGAGGTGCAGGTGGCTGGGCCGGCGGGGGATGGGCGAAGGTGGACAGGTTGGCACACGACAGCGACTTCTTCAGGTTCTCATTGTTGAGGTGCGTGATGTTGTTCTGGTAGCTGCTGTTGGGCTGCACCTTCTTGGAGTTCTTCTTCTTGGCCGACACAGCCACGATCCTCTTCCAGGGCAGCACCGAGATGATGGAGTGCCGTTTCAGGTTCTTGTCCTTGGCGTTCTTGCTGTTCTGCACGGCCGTGTAGTGGCCCACCGTGGCCGCGCCATCCTCAAACAGTGTGGCCTTCCGGTAGCTGGGGGACAGGGACAACACCGTGCCCATGGTGCCACTGCGCGCCGGGCGGGGGCCCGCGCCCCTGCGCGCCCAGCCTGCCCGCCGGAGGGAGAAAGCGGCTCTCTGAGCCCGCGGCGGCCCTGGGGAGGAGGCAGGGGCGCTCCCGTGGATGCGTGCTGGCCCTTCAGATCTGCGTGGAAAAAAAGATGGTCTCAGCAGCAGAGGGGGCCGCGCGCCGCGTTCATCGCCCCCTTCTCGGCGGCCCCCGCTGACCGAGCCCCCGCATCCGCTCTAGGGCCCTGCCCGGGCTCCGCGCCCCCGCCCGCGCGCCGCAACCCCGCCGCTCTCACTGCAGCACCGACCCCCCCGACTCGCTGCTGCGGTCCGGATGCGAAGCCCGGAGGGGCCCGCGACGCCGACGAACGCCTCGAGACCCCGCGCGGCCCGACCCCGGTCCTGGGTAACAAGAGCGGCGGGCGGCCTCGAAGAGCAGTCTTACCCGGCGGGCGTCGTTTCCTGAGCTCCGCGCCCTCTGCAATGCGCGCCGCGGCACGGCCGCCGCGGTCCCGGCGCTCGGCGGGGCTCGCGCTCGGCTGCGGCTCCGGAGCTTCTGTCCAAGGTTCTGCAGGCGCGCGGCCCCGCCCCCCGCTCCCGCCCCCGGCGCGCACCTCAGCGGCCTCCCTCTCGGGGCCGCGCGCTGGGCCCCTACGCCAGCCCCCGACGGGTCGAGTCTCACCGAAGAGCCGCGACCGCCGCCGTGCTGAGCCCGAGCCGCGCGCGCAGAGAATAGAACGCGGCCGCGAGCTGCAGGCGCCCCTACTCGCCGCGCTCCATCAGGACGGGTCTCGCGCGACGGCGGGTACACGCACCGTGGCCCCGCCCATCGGACCCCGCCCCTTCTGCATTGCTCGCCGCGGCTCAGCGCCTGACGCCTAGGCAGCAGCCCCGCCGCGTGAGCCAGGCGCCGGGCGCAGCCGTAGTTCAAACGGAGGCGGAGCCGTGCCCCTGACCGACCCCGCCCGCGCCCCGCCCAGACACGTGCTGCCTTTGTTCCCGCCGCGGCTCCCACAGCTGCGGGCGGCGGGGGCGCTCTCGGCCGCATCCCCGCGGTAACAACGAGGCTGCTCCTGCCCGCGAGCAACCATGCGCGGAGATCCCAGGGCCCATCTTCCATTTCACTCATCTCCGGGACAGAAGATAAGGAGCGCCGGTAGGAAGGCCACGTGGGGGTTGAGACGAAGCCGTAACTGAGGCTGCCTGACAAACACACGCATCCGTAGTGGGCGGCCTTTCGTCTCCGGGGTCTTCCTTCCTTCGTACCCGTTAGTCTCGTTAAAAAGGCCAGAGAGGCGTAGGCAGTCTGGGGCCGCTCTACAAACACGGACTGGCATTCTCCCACACCTGGGGCAGGGCCCTGGGCCTCCTGGCTCAGCCGGTGTCCAGAGAACAGGTGACCAGAGACCGGTTAAATGTGACCTTGAGGTTTCCACTCGCCCTCTTATCTGTCATATTAAAATTGAAGCAACTGCACTCCCAACCAGGCTCCAACCTTTTGATATAATTTTCCTTCTAAATGTTAAATTTTATACTTGGTGCTAATAAGGATACAAAATGCTCCTGAAATTCCTCCTCGTTTTAATTCTTCCACAGGTAAGAATCCAGATTATTTACAAAGGCCTTTTTGCACTTGGAATTGCTTTAGTTTGGTGCTTGCTGAAGACTGTGACTCAAATGTGACCATAATCCTGAGAAGAGATTGAAGCCATATCAGAACCAAGAGATCATTTCTCGATGTGGCAGTAAGGCTTGCCCTATGCTGACAGTAAGGACTGGGAAAACTGGGCAAATAGCCAATTCCCTGACTCCCAGACCACTTTAGGAAGCTCTGGCACCACAGTGGTTATGAGTCTGGCTGTTAACCTCAAGGTCAGCAGTTTGAAACTACCAGCCCTTTTCATGGGAGAAAGATTAGGCTTTCTGCTCCCATAAAAATGTACAGCCTCAGGAAACCCTATGCAGGGTCACTATGAGTGGGAACCTACTCCATGGCACGTCAACATGACCACCAGACCACTTTAGCACACTAGGATTCAACCTGTGCCAGTTCTGCCTGTTGCCAGGCATCTGGCATCACTCAACAAGTCAGAGGTGCTAGAGATAGTGGCTCCGAATGACTTTGGAGTACCTCAATTGAAAATGTATTGCTTCCATACCAAAACACCAAACCACTTGCCATCTCCTGGAAACCCCATGTGTCAGAGTTGAACTGTGCTCCATAGGGTTTACAGTGGCTGTGACCTTTCTTCTAAGAGACCTTCTGGGTGGATTTTGAATTAGCAACCAGTTACTAACCTAGTGTTTTGCTCTTTACACCACCAGGGCTTTACTTTTTCTATAGCTCTTCAGAAACATCCATGGCATTCATTCTAGACAGCAGGTCTTAGCTCTTGTATACCTCCCTCTGAAAGTTCCTCAGTCTCTTCAAAAGTTGTCTTCAACCCTCCCTTGCTTAATGTTAAAAAGCTCCTAGAAAATGCACCCTCCAAGTCTTTCAGATCCACAAGCCCAACACCTCTGTTCACTTCACTCTAAGACAAAGCTGAAGGCAGCTTCTTTTCTTCAGCTAGCTGCCAATGGAGCTCCTGAGCTGGCTGGGCCCACATTTTGTCTCTCTCTGGTGTTAGAGCAAAGGTTTAATGTTTTCCAGTTCCCAAAATAGAAACCTGGTGTGGTGCTGTAGGATCAGCACTGGACTGCGAACCACAAGATCGGCAGTTCAATCCACCAGGTGTTCCTTGAAAACCCTATAGAGGGTCGCTCAGAAACCCTATAGAGACAACTCCACGGCACTTTAACATTTCCCAAAATATGCTCGGATTTCTAACACTGTGATCCAGTCTTTGGAAATGTTTGGGCTCATTCTGTTACCCATGATCATGGATTTCAATTCTGGCCATTCTAGTTCCTGATGGACCTACCACAAGTCCCCAAACCAAGAAAGTCTATGTGTGCACAGGCCTCTTTCAGCCTGGCTGCACTCTGGTGTCTTGTCATGCCAGCCCTTCCCTACCCATTGCCACTGAGTTGATTGATTCCACATAGCAAAACGACCCTATTGTTGTCATGTACCGTCAAGTAGGTTCTGACCCATAGTGACCCTGTACAGGGTTTCCCAGGAACAGCTGGTGAGCTTTAACCACTGACCTTGCGGTTCAAACCGACTTTGTAATCCAGTGCATTAACCCTCAGTGCCACACCAGGACTCCAAAACAACCGTAGAGGTCGGAGTATAACTAGCCCAGAGTTTCAAGGTTGTAATCTGTATGGAAGCATCTTTTCTCATGGAATTGTTGTTAAGTGCCATGGAGTCGGTTCCAACTCATAGCGACCCTGCACAGGGTTTCCGAGGATGTAAATCTTTACGGGAGCAGAAAGCCTCATCTTTCTCCGGCGGAACCGCTGGTAGTTTCAAACTACTGGTAGGTTTTAACTGCCAACTTTTCATGTAACAACCAAGAGCTTAACCGGTGCTCCCTAAACCTTCTCTAGCACCTTTAAAAAGAAACTGCATGACCTCAACCTTCTCATACCTTGTCACAGGGAAAAGAGATGTTTGCAGCAGAGCATAGATGGGATGGTGGTGTCGCCAATTTGCTGCTGACAAGGGCTCTCAGAAACCCCTACCAACCCAGGCCAGGCCACATAGTTCCTCTGCTTGCCCAACCCACCAGCCCCTCTCCCTTACCCAGCTCCTAAAGCTGTTCCAACTTGGAAGCAAGGAAGAGCAGTAAGCCGCCAGAAATGACAGAAGGACCCAGAAGGCCGACCCAGCTGAATGATGCGGAGCTACTTTCTTCCTTTGTATCCCCAAATGCCACCATTACTCAGCCTATCTCTAGCTACCTGAGGACCAGGCCCTGCTGAGCCCCCTACACTGCATGCTCCACTTCCCAGACCACCTGGAAGGAAGCCAGAGCCCTAGCCAGCCAGCTCCAGCTTCCAGCAAGGTTCCAAATCAAGCAGGGCTGAGCTCTGGCTCCTGAGGAAGCCGTGCTTCGTTCTTTCAGGGATCACAGAGCAGCATCTAGAGGCCATTCTGGGCAGCACAGATTACATAACTAGCATGTAGCAGGGAACCAGAGGCAGACGCCTCCGCCTCTGCTCTCAACACTAGCAGCATCTCACTGTCACATAAGCAAGCCCTAGCATCAGGAAGGCTCGTGCCAAGGTCCCTAGGTGAGGGAAGAGGACCCAGTATAGCCTGGGAGCCACCTGTCCCTCAGCTGAGCCTCAACTCAGGTATCTGAGTCCTGGGAAGGGAAGCAGAGGCATGACTGCTGGGGGATCTAGGGCAGCGCTGCCCAAGAGAAATACACTGTGAGCCCCCACCACATGTGATGCCACACTGAAAAAGCAAAAATAAACAGGTGACTTTTAGTCATTAATGTAGACCTGGTATGATGCTGTAGGATAAGCACTGGACTGCTGACCAAAAGGTCAGCATTCAAACCCACCAGCTGCTCCTCAGGAGCCCTATATACAGAGTTGCAATGAGTCAGAAATGATTCAACAGCACTTAACATTTATACCCAAATATATTTTAACAGGTAGATGTGTAATTTCACTCTTTTTAATACTAAATTTTCAGTCTGGTTTGAAGTTACAGTGCATCACATGGCTAATTGGCTACTTTCTGGACTGTGCAGGTCTAGAGGAAGCCGTCACACCAAGACCCAAGCAGGAACAGAGAAAAGGGCTGCTGCACTGAGCTCCCAGGGCTGCCCTCGGCTTGTAAAGCCCTGTGCTCCAGCAGCCCTGCATCTCTCTTGACATATAGTTTTTTCAGTTCTTTAAAAGAAGCAAGACTGCTTCTGCGAAAAGAATTACACAGAGACAAAACACAGAAATGGCTTACAACAGAATCATTTAGACTGAAGTAGAACTCTAGGGGATCTAGAGCTCACACCTCAGAAAAATCATTCCAGGGTCTAGATTGAAAATCACCGGTATGGAAGATTCCTAAAAGGAAACTTCTGAATGTCTGAATTTGGCAGGCACCTGCCCTTCTATTACTTCGTAACATTCTCAATCACCTACCATGGTTACAAATGAGCAATAGGCTTGGGTTATTACAACCCCCAAACCCTCATGTCCCTCACTGAACCACGTGACATTGAAGGCCACTTCAAATTTTAGTCCTCACAGATCAATTTTGTAACTCAGGCCGTCGACGTTATCCCAGATATGATGAAGGGGCTCCCATTACCAAAGGAGACAATAAAACTATAGGCCAGTCTGGAGGGCTAGGCAATTACTGGGCGACAACAAGCTGGTTGGACTCACTCAGAAGTCCTCCAACACTCAAGAAAGGACACCTTTTGAAAAAAAAAATTATTTTTATTGGAACTCATCTGAACATCAGATATACCTGGTGTTGGTTAGCAAGAACCGTTTGTACATTTGATATTGATGGTGCCAAAACCAAAACAGTGACTGGACATGATGAGGAGAAAAGATGGTGAGAACAGAAACCTGATTTTGGAGAGGAAAATAAAAGCCAGTCAGATTTCGGTGAGGATGCAAAACCTGGTACAACAAAATCCTTTTACAAAATATAAATTTCTTAAGAAAACCTGGAAGGATAATCTGAGAAAGGGAAAGAGAAAAGGAGGCCAGCAGGAAGGAGGCAGGAGGAGAAGAAAAAAGAGAAGACAAAGAGATGAGAGGAAGAAGAAAGTATTGTGGAGCACAGCAAAGGTGAGAAGCGTACCAATGACAGAAAAGCCTTGCTATACCACCTCAATCATTAAAAAAAGCTGGAATACAGTGCCCTCCCTTCCATCTGTGTGATTTTTTTTTTTAAGAGGTAAATAAAGAAGCTCCCTGGGAGGGGGACATGAGGTTGCTCAAAAACCCAACAAGGAAAGGAAAACAAAACAAACCACACCCCACAGTCTCATTTCCGATGTTCATTGTTTTAAAAAAGGAATCAATCCATCTGATAGCAAGAGGAGGAGTGGGATGGGGAGAAAAGCTGTTGGGGTTCCAACAGCTTGACTCCTCTGGAGGGGACAGAAGGGAGCAAGAAGAGACGTGGTGGTCTCCTGGTCAAAAGAGAAAGGAGAGAGAAAAGAGCAGAGAAGAAGGGCAATTAAAACACTGACGTCTAATCTAGTTTACTGTGTTAAAAAAAAAAAAGCCACATGCACAGCAGGCCCCCTGGGGGCTGAGGGCCCACACTGTTCCCTGTGTGGCCGCAGTGGACACCAGTTCCTGGCCTCGTCCCCATTCCTTCACAGGTCAGAGTGGACACATGCTGCTGTTGCTGCTGCTGCTGCTGCTGTTGCGGCGCCGGAACCTTCGGCCAGTCTCCTGGAGCCAACGTCGGGGAGGGGTGGGCAGATAGGTCGAATAGCAGGGGAAAGAACACCGAAACGCCTCATTTCAAATAAAAAAGAAAATAGCAGTCTATACACATTTGTTTGTTTTGGTTCAGTACAAACAGAATAAAAAGTCGTTGCTTTTGATGGTCTGCAAACACCCAATTCTGAAGAGGAGAGGTAACGCCCAGCGGGTGGGGTAGAGCCCCAGTGGTTGGCGGTGTGCCTGGCTTTGCGGCCCTCTCCCAGGAGGCAGAGAGCACAGCTGTAGGTAGTGTAAGCCTTTTCCTTTTATTTTGAATAACCTTTTTTTTTCTTTTTCTTTCTTTTTTTTTTTTTTTTTTTTTTTAAGCAATTTCCCCACTCCCAAATTGGGCCAGTAAAGATTACATGAAAACTGGTACACCTATTGACTGGAATACAGATGCACCAAATGAGGATTTAAAAACTTTCCCAGCAAAAAGTAGAACAAAAAGAAAAAAAATCTCCTAGCATTTTCCCCCAAAGGTTTCACTCTCCCGCCACACACACTCTCCAAAGGACCGCTACAGATCCAATTCTGCAAGAGAAGACAGAGCAGCGTCAATCGGGAGGCCGCCGTTCAGGCTCCACAGCAGAAGACAGTGCTGCCCGGGCCCTGGGTCCTGGAGCCAGCACTCACCTAGGTCAGTTTCTTGGCTTTGTTGTAGAGGGAATCCACTACTTTACTCATGTTCTGAATTGTTTCCAGAGCAGCTTCATAAGTTTTATCTACTGGGGGTTCATCGAAAATAATCAGGACACCCTCCCCCTGGTCCAAGATCCCTGCAGGAAACACAAGGACAACCCTGGTAAAGGAAGGCATCAGACACAAAAATGTTTGAGAAGCAGCCCTAGTTTCCTCACTTTTTCCGGAAAATAGAACTCTCTCCCTGTTCCGTTGGTACATGCTTACTATATGCGCTCATTATAAATTATACTATACACAATATGGGAGCACAAGCATTCTGTAGGATAAGCATGGGATTATAAAACATAAGGTCAGCAGTTGGAGCCTACCAGTTGCTCAACGGGAGAAAGATGAGGCTTTCTGCTCCCACAAAGGTTTAAAGCATCAAACCTTATACACGGTTTCCTTAGACATTGTGAGTTGGAATCGACTAGAAGGCACTTAACAACATACACCATACACTCAGGGCTAAGGGGCAAGCCCCCCCAGAGAACCACCAAGAACAAATGACACAAACACCTCATCACCACTCCCTCACCTGACCTTTATGACTGTTACTCACCATGAAATTTCTTGTCAAGGATCATCTGTGATAATTTCCTTTCTACGTCGGCCTAAAATCAAAGCATATGATTAAAAGGACTATAATCCACTATGCAAAGATCAGAGTGACACAAAGACCCTGCGTAAAGGGTCTTAGAGCAAATGGGTTTAAAACAATGAAGCCACAATAAAACTCCAATTCTGAGCCCAGGGTCCCCATTTCCTACTGAGAAGCTTGGGAGCTTTCCAACAAGACCCAACAGGTACAAATACCAGTCCCTCAGCATAACCCTTTCCCCATTCCATCCCCAGGACACAGCTTCAGGATTCCTTACCTTGGAAAGTTTGATGAGGCTAGATATGTGTTCAATCTAAAAGAAAGACAGACACCAGCACTGAAAGTTCAACTCTGGTCTCCAGTGTGACAGAGGAAGGGGAGACTGCTGATTTCTCATCCAGTTGGATATTTCTACAGGGCCACATTCTCTTAGCTTAGGACTTAGGCTCTGCCCAGCGCCCTTCATTCACTACAGGTAAGAAACATACTCTTGCCCACACCCACTGCAGAGGCAATTACTGTGTAAGCAGTGACTGTAAAGGCAAGAAGACCACCACACTAAGAACACAAGCAGGGAGGGGGCAATCTCACTAGCCTCTATCCCACAGCATTCTTTACTTCCTGTCAAGAGAAGCCCACGCACTCAGTAGCATCTTGCCCACTATTAGGCATACCATTGGAAGTTGAGTTCCTATTCTGGCCAGGTGTGGCTATAGTGAAGAGGATAACCAGAGTCCCACCGCTCCCTAAAGAAAAGCTATGGGTTTCCAGGAGGGTTCTTACCTGTACTCGGGAAAAAGGCTCGATGACTCGGATCAGATTCTGTTCCAGTAGGTTGTCATACAACTTGGCCAAGTGTGTGTTGATGATTGGGTCATCTCGGAGTTCAGCCCGGTAATCTGTCAGGGCCTGACAAAAACAGCCAGTCGGAGAGATCGGCAAAAAGAATCACTTTAAAGTCATAGTACTCCTGGGCCCCTAAATAGGCTGCTGGCCCTTATAATCACATGGTTGATTATAAAGTACTGGGACTTTTAGGAGATGAAAAAAACCCATAAAGTACTGGGACTTTTAGGAGATGAAAAAAACCCATGACAAAAAGGCAGAAGAGAAAAGAACACCAAGTCCATGGAGCTACCTTAGGTACCATCTCTCCTACTAAAACAGCCTCATGTGGACAATTCAAACAGCCTATGCCCAAGGGCATTTCACCTGTAAACCAAATTAACAATACACATTTCTAAACTTGTATTCTACAGAACAAATAGGTTTGGGGGTGGGGGGGTGGAGGGACATGAACATTTTGAAGCTGAACAATGGGAAATGCTGAGTTCCACAGTTAGCTAGCTCTTGGAGTTTTACAAGAACGATAGCAGACTGTCACTATATTACAGAACAAACACAAGGCCTAGAGTCAAACCCTAGCGGTTACTAGATGTGGGAATTTGGGCATCCTCTCTGAATCCCAGTTCCCTGAACCATAAGAAATAGACAAGAGGTTTGTTGTAAAAAAATTAAGATGAAAAAAGGATGACAGAAATAACTTTAAGCAGAAAAGTACTATATGTAAATAAGGTATGCAAGTGTCACTGTACAAATGTGCTTATTAACTAATTCCTGGCTTTGATCTGTATTATAATTATGTATACGGAATAAAAACTATTTCAAAATAAAAAGTTTAAGTGCCCAAGTACCTCACCAATGCCACAGAGATCTTTCAGCTCCACTTCTCTGCCCATTCATTCCCTACCAAGCCAATACCATGCTCACCTTTTCAAAATCTGCCAGTGATCTGTTCTTGCTGGCCTGTGCCACACATTTTAATGCTTCTGTCTGAAACGAAAAAGAAAAAATATCAAAGTGATCTGTTCTGCATATTCACATTCTACCAAACAAGCACAAACAATGTGCTCTATCCACAATCACTCTGGCTATGAGGAAGAGCCTGCCCCACCATCAGTCTTCTGCAGAGGCCTTGGAAGAAAAGCTAAACGTATACCACTGTGTGCCAACCAATTTCCCTGTGAAATCTAAAGCAGCTTAAAAATATTAGAAAATAGAAGGTTAAAAAAAAAAAAAAGATCCTGACATAACATCCTCCACCAAGACTCCTTTATGTCCACATCCACCCAAATGTCTTCTCTTTTAGACCAGATTATATGTGCTTTACGAAGATTCAGTATGCTAGGTTTGGTTATTAAGGTTGGTTTCAAATTCTACAAATGAGACTGAATGCGAAAATCCCAGAGTAAAGTTAGGGCATTCAACTTGTTGATTAAAAATCGTTAGGAGAATTGTAAGAAGTTGCATGGAGTGATACCAGTACAATTGATGGCTGCTGGCAACTTCTAATCTGGTATCCTGATACTAAAAAGTACTAAGGAGCCCTGGCAGCGTAGTGGGTTACACAGTGGACTGAAATCCGAAAGGTCAGCACTTCAAATCAACCATCTACTTCGTGAGGAAAAAATAAGGCTTTCTGTGCCTGTAAATTTAGCCTCAGAAACCCTACACAGGATCACTGTGAGTCAGAACAGACTGGACGGCACGCAGCAGCAGCAGCAACCCAACTCAGAAAGAACTCTACAACACTGATCTTTCTGGGAGTTCAGCCTGACTCCTGCTAGAAAGCTGTTATCAAGGTATGAAGGACCAAAGGAGCAACTCTCGCACCCACCACCATACTTAAATAAGGATGTTATGTCTTACTGTTGTTGTTATTAAGTGCCATCAAGTTGATTCCAACCCACAGTGACCCTGTATAGGGCTTCCAAAGGGCAGCTGGTGGTCTTGAACCACCGACCTTGCGATTTAAACGACTTTGCAGTCTGACACATTGGCCTAGAGCACACTAAATGGTAAAAGACTAGTGTAGTTTGTGTCTCCAGCATTTGGCCTAGACATGGAACACATGTCGTAACAAGAAATGCCTGGAACTTAAGAGACAGGTCACCTGTGTTCAAAGTCTGGCTCTACCATTTACTCGTTAGTTATCTGACCTTGTGAACATGTGACCTCTCTGAGCCTGTCTGCTCAATTCTAGTTGTAGTGAGAGTATTATTTCACCATAATCACAAGTATCTTGTGCTCAAAACACAGGACTGATGTGAAACAGTTTCTGGAAAAACTACTTGTAGAAAAAAAGGAAATCCACAAAGAGAGTGAGTCAATCTGTCTACTGTTTAGAGACAATTTCATTTGAAATCCAGAAAGATTATTTTTTACTTTACTAGTAGTGATAATCAAAGGAGCCCTGGCAGCGTAATGGGTTACACTGGGCTGCTAAAAGCAAGGTTGGAAATTCAAGTCCACCATTCGTTCCTCAGGAAAAAGATGAGGCTTTCTGCTCCTGTAAATATGTACAGATGCGGAAACCCTATACAGGGTCCTTGTGAGTTGAAACTGACACAGCACACAATAGTGATAAATGAACAAAGTACAAAGGAGTCCAGATACATGAGACATCATCCTTACAAGTCACAACTGTTCAATCTTGGAAGTCACACTCCTACCGATGCAGCCATTAAGGTACCACAACAACGGCTACTGATCATCAAGGGCCTCTTTCTATACCATTCTTAAAATTCAGTGCAAAGTTACTGCTAGGGAAAGACTCAGGTGAGTCAGCACACCTAGTTTCTAAACCAAGCAATCGACTCCCCTAAAGTACCATACCTTAGCGGGCTCCTGAACCGTGGAGAGCCCAGGACATCATGTTGAACACACATTAAATTGGCAATCAGGCTCATGGCAGGTTTTCTGATCAAAGCTTAAATGCAACATACCTCACTGGGAATGTTACAGTTCAGTTCTGTGGGAAGTCTTTCAAACCACCTGACACCTACAACTCCCGAAGAGTGTCAAACACTGACTTTCCACACCAAGGATTTAATAGTACAGAAAACAAACTGGCTGGGCTTTAAGGAGAAGAAGGTTAAAAAAACATAAAGAGAAAGGGGCCCTGGTAGTGCAACAGTTAAGTGTTTGGCACTAGCCAAATGCTTGGCAGTTTGAACTCACCCTCAGGCTCTACAAGGGAAAGACCTGGCAATCTCTGTAGAGATCACAGTCAAGCAAACCCGATGAGGCAGCTCTACTCTGTCAGGTCAGAGATCTACCCAGCTTCTTACACCTAATGGAGTTCTCTTGTAATCAATCTCATTTGAAAAAGAAGAAGGGAGAGGAAACAAAGATCTGACTAACACATCATAACAAGGACAACATGCTGGACTCAGAATGAATAGAAATCACAACCGCAGCCAAAGGCATTTCCTACCTGCCTCCCAGCATACCGAAGTGCAAGCTTTCCGCTCACCAAGGCTTGGACATCTTCTGGGCTGGAAAAAAAAAAAAAAAAAAAACTTTGTCAATGGCTCCACAGTGTTATGCTTCTAAGTACAAGTCTAAGGAGAATTTCTTTTTCCCAGAACACCCTAAGAAGACTCTGCTCATAGATACAACCATTGCTGACCTTCAGACCCATTGACCCATCACACAGAAGAAACGAACTTTTCCTCACAGTGGTCAGAACAGGAGAAAAGCTCCAGTTCAAGAGAAAGCTATGCTGAACCAATCAAAAGTAACAGACCCAACAAGCAGAATGCTAGGATAAATCAGATCCCAATATACCAGTTTCTATTAAAACAAAATCCCTTATAATCCAAAGATCCAGAAAGTCCCAGTCAACATCTTATTTATTCCAATATGAATATGAATAACTATGTAGGACTCCTTATGAAAGTATAAGACTAATGTACTTTCTATGGCCCACTTTTCCAAATCTCTCCTTAATCCTTCTCTTCACCCCCATTTTAAGTGGCTCAGCTGACTGGCACTGGTCTGGAAGTTCCTTCCTGTCCCCCTGTCTCATGCTCAACAACTATGACATAACATTTGCAGGATGAGGGGTTGAAGAGGAGATTTCTACAAATCTATCTCCTCAATTCTGAAGAGTAACAAGCTCTCCCACTAGACTCCAGTCAGTCAAGAAGCTGCTTCTGCACTGGCCATACCCTCTAACCAAACCATCTCTGTCAGGGCAGAAAGACTCCATTGAAAGATCTGAGCTTTTATATCCTGAGTTAACCTGCACTTACGTGTTGAGCATGATTTTGCACAGCAACATGTACTTCAGAGATGTGATGGCCTTGGGGCTATCGATGGAGTCATAACCCTCAAATGCCTCATAGAAATATGAATATGCAGTTTTCCAGTCCTTCTCCTCTGCTGCATGGATAATACCTGTACATTAAAAAGAAAAAATCACCATATAAAATAGGACCATAGCCATCAGATGCCACCTATATTTAAAAGCAAAATGTTTGATATGGTGAAAAAAATGTGAAATTGTTTACTACAAATTAGTAAGTAAGCATTAGGATATCTGTGCCTATCTTGATCTGAAATTGCTCTCTGATTTTACATTCATGTCTCTTCAAAGGACCATTTTAAATATATTTGTGCTCATTTAAATAATCCAAGATGATCTCCTAACTCAAGATACTTAACACACCTTCAAATTCCTTATTCACGTTTAGGGTGTTAACGTTATTGGATAATTTCTGTGGCATGTGGTGTTGACTCCCTGATGGTTTAATTGACTTCTCTTTCCCACTGGAGAAGAAGGAATGTTTGCCTCTGTTTTTTCATTCATTTTAATATCCTTGATCTATAAATATTATCTTGGTTGGATTGCCCTATGAATGCTTTGTAAAAGGTTAAATGGTTTCCTTATTAGTAATAAACTAGTGAAAAGTTTTTAACATGTTAACTTTGTCTTTATAAGATTCCTAATTCTAACTATAAAAATTTTTAATTAAACATAATGGTAAAGATACAGAGTTAGAATGAGTGTCAGAGATAGCTAAAATTAAGTGTTTTTATTAAATGTAAACATTTTTAACACATATCTGTTTATATGTTAAAGAAGTAGTAGTAAAAGATGATTCTTGATTAGGAATTTTGTGTTGGCTTTATTAGTAATGGTATAATATTTTTCTTTAACCCAACCTCTATCTAAGGGTTTGACCTTCTGGTATATTATAGAGTTTAGATATTATAAATTAAATAAGTGATGGGAGATTCTAACTTCAAAGCAAATTATTTAAGATGGAGGTATACAGTAGATATATAAATTGCATGTGAAAAAATGGAATTAATTTTAGATAAAAATTAACTATGAAAAAAAAAAAAAAAATAGGACCATAGCAGAGCTGGGAAGAAGGGCCTTTGACATCTAGTCCTACTCCATCAGTTTAAAGATAAGGTCAGAAGAAGACAAAGGAACTGACCAGAGTCACAGCCAGCTAGTAGCAAAATTGAGGCCAGAACCCAAATCTTTGGTAATTCCAGCTCAGTATCATATTGCTAAATTGACAATATAAACTCCCAAAGAAGTTACAGACCCAATTCCAAGAGGCTCCTAAAAACTATACACACATCATTCCCCTGTGCTGCTCACACCACTCTAGTTCTAACTTCTGGAGACACTGGAAATGGCCATGTTTACCCTCCATGACCTCACCTTCATAGGTCAGGAAATCTATCTAAGCATCCCTAGCCTGTCTGAATGACCTGTTTAAATAAGATCAGTCATAAATATAGCTTGGCTAAGTTGCCGTTTTATACTTATGCAGCTTTCATGGGGGGGACGGACGGACAACCTTTCATAGCTTCATTCTAGACATTTGTCTTCTATGAATGTGCTGTTGCCTAGATGTAATCAGTGTGTGACGGTGGTGGTGTGCCTCTGAATCTGTTCCGACACGTATCAACTCTGTAGAGTGTTTCCAAGGCTGTAAATTAGTGTGTGATTTCACATAAAACCAAATCCATGATGTTACTTTTACATGGTTAAACAGTATCTCTTTAGGGTGACATCTCTTTAGGTTCACCTACTCAATCCTCTACAGCTAAGAAGATGGGCTGCTTCCAACAAGCTTAACTTTAAATAAGCCTGCTATTACTTCCAACCTATGCTATCATTTGTTATTGTTAAGTGCCATCAAGTTGGTTCCAACTTATAGTGACCCTGTAAGGGTTTCCAAGGAGTAGCTATTTGGTTTGAACCACTGATCTGTGGTTCTCAGTTTCCAGCTTGGGAGTTACATAAATGCTAAGAATCCGCACTTCTATATGAGGGAGCTTCAAAAAGTTCATGACATAAACTGAATTAAAAGGTAATGGAATTTCCCCACACAAATTTTGAAGCTTCCTCATATTATCATCTTTAACTTTACCCTAGCTCCCTTATGAGGTTACAGACGTTAGTCCCATCTATCTGTTTACCATAGTACTTCCCATCAATTTTCACATCAAGGTATATGTAGAAAATACTTAGCAGAAGGGTGCTTCCCTGTGACCCAATGATCACTGTTTCAATACAACTGTAATTCACCTATAGCATGGTAGCACAGTGGATTACCAGTTGGGCTACTAATCACAGAGTCAACAGTTCAAATCCACCAGCCACTCCTTGGGCGAAAGATGAGGCTTTCTGCTTCCATAAAGATTTACAGCCTCAGAAACCCTGTACAGGGTCACTATGAGTCAGAACCAACTTGACAGCATGCAGCTGCAACAGCTAAAGCACCGGCTGAGGCACAAATAGGCTTCTCTCACACAGTGAAGAGGAGTTATCAGAGCTCTCTTTACTTCATTAAACATTTTTAACACCCTCATGTGGCGCTGTAGAGTAAGCACTGGACTACTAAGCACAAGGTCAGGAGTTCAAACTCATCAAGCTGCTTCTCAGAAAATCCTAATGGAATCGACCCAATAGCCCTTAACAACCATAAGAACACAGTATGCTATAGATAAGGAGCTCTGGTAGCATGGTAGTTACAAATCCTAATGGAATCGACCCAATAGCCCTTAACAACAATAAGAACACAGTATGCTATAGATAAGGAGCTCTGGTAGCATAGTACTTACAAATCGGGCTGCTAACTTCAAGGTCAGCAGTTCCTAACTACCAGCTGTTATATGGGAGAAAGATGAGGCTTTCTGCTCCCGTAAAGATCTACAGCCTCGGAAACCCTATATAGGGTCACTATGAGTCGGAACCGACTCTACAGCACACCTATGCCACCATCATGCTATAGGTGGAGTCCTGGTTGTGGCACTCCAAATAATGCACTGGACCACAAGGTCCGCTTTTACTGCAAGGTCAGCAGTTCAAACCCACCAGCTGCTCCTCAGAAGTCATATATATATATATATATATATATACAGGGTTGCTATGAATCAGAACTGATTTGACCGCACTTAACAACAACAACAACAAGCTATAGGAAAGCTGAAGGACATGATTTTTTAACTTTGTCTTGGTCAGTTTCATAAGAGTAAATGGCAAAGTATGAAATGGAAGCATCCTCAATCACCAACCAAAAAAAGTTCAAGTCAACTATCAGCTGGAAAACTGCTGCTTACAATTTTCTCGGATTCTCAAGGGCCAGTATTGGAATACTATCAAGAAAAAGCCTCAACTATCAACAGTACTCAGTGAGATGTTCACTGAAGAGCTGAAGCCTAAATTTCAGATTTAACCCAGAGGACCGCTGTACAAGAGTGTTGTGCTCTTGCTTGACAGTGCATGTCCACACAACTCTGCCCACACTGTTGACGCTACGCAAAAACTTTGTTTTGCGGTGTTAAAGCATCCTCCCTATAGACTGCTCTTGCTCCACCCAACTTTCACCTGTTTGGTCCCCTGAAAGCAGTCCTTGAAAGCTTGTTGACACATGGGCAAAGTGTATGGAAAGAAGATTATAGTGAAAAAGTAAGTATCTGTTTTTTCTAAAAGTTGATTAAAATAAATTCTACAGGCATCCTGCAGGACCGCAAGGTGAGGGGTTCAAACTCATCAGTTGCTCCTTTGAAAGTCTACAGTGGGTTGCTATGAGTCAGAATCAACTTGACAGCATTTAACAACAGCAGCAGCTGCAGCCAGAGTATGGATAATTTGTAACTCACCCTCGTATAAATAAAAGTGCTAAGGAGCTCAGTGTCGTGGGAATGATGGTCTCCAAAGCACAACACAAGGCAGTTAATACTGTAACATGGCCAAAAAGTCATAAAACAAAGAAGGTACAAAGAAGGGATTACAGAAGAGATATGAGCTGGATCTGAAAGGATTCATAGGAATTTGCCAAGATGGCTAGGTGAAAGGGAGAATTCCATGCAGTGAAGAAAAAACTAGAGAGACACAGAAGAGCAGGGAATATCATGAAGTGCCCAGAAAACATGAAGTCATTTGAAAACTAGAGATGAACATGAAAAGGAACAGATGTTTTCCTTTTGAATGCCACATTACAATAAAAGTAAGCCTGGGTGTGAAGAGAGTGGGCCCTCTCCTACACTGCTGGTGGATGGTAAAATAGTCCAATCACTGTGAATAACGGTGTTTCCTCAAAATGTCAGAGACAGAAATTCAGCTATGATCAAGCAATTCCTCTACTTGGAATATATCCTCAAGAAATAGGAGCCGTGACATGAATAAATGTATGCACACCCATGTCCATTGCCGCACTATCCACAATAGCAACATGCCCCTCAATAGAAGGATGGTTAAACAAACCTTGGTACCTACACACACAGAAATGGAATACTATGTAACACTGAAAAATAATAACAAATCTAAAGAATACCTCATAACATGGATGAACCTGGGGGACATTATACTAAATGAAATTAGTCAATCACAAAAGGGCAAATATTGTATGAGATCCTTACTAGAAAAAATATTCATGCTAAAAGAAACATTCTGTGATGGTTATCAGGGATAGGAGGGAAGAGAGAATTCACTGACTAGAGGATAGACTTGGTGAAGGGGAAAGCCTTAAAAGTTTTTTTAAAAGAGTTAGCCTGAGAATAAAAGGAATCCACTGGAGATTTTTAAAGATGAGAACTGCATGATCCAATTTGTGTTTCAGAAAGGTAACTTTGAACTCAATAAGGAGGATGGACTTTATTGAGGAGAATAGTAAAGGACTACCTGGGTGGTCTAGGTCTTAATTATAGCAGTGGCTGTAGAGACAGAAAAGAAAGGTCAGATTTGGGGACAAATCTGGTAACTGAATGATATTAAAGCGCAGAGATAGGAAGAAGCCTAAATTAGTCCAAAGACAAAACTAACAAACAATAATAATAGCATTAAATAAGTCAATAAATATAGAAAGGAACATTTGAATGGGGGGAGTGTTTGGATAAATTTGGTTTTTGATCTGCTGAGATTGAGATTCTTATGGGTGTCCATTAATCAGCCAGAAATCTGGAATTTAAGGAGAAAAAGGAGCTATTAGAGCTCTAAATGAGAAAACCTTGTTCTGAGACAGCTACAGTACAGGAGGGTATGGGATTAGAAATGGAGTTAAGGACAATAGGAAGAGAAAAATAGTAAGGGAAGAATGAGGAATAGCCACAAGTAAGGAGCAGTCAAAGGGAGGAGAAAACAGCAAAATGACTGAGAAAAATTTGTCAAAGGAAGAGAACCAACAAGACAATGATGTCAAAGAATTCCTTCTCAAAGTCAGAGATTTAAGGGATTTATGGATTTTTTTTTTTTTAATTCTCTTCTTTCTTTCACAAAGTCAGAGACACCGAAGGCTACGGTTTCAACTTGGTAGATTTACAAATAAGAATGGCTCTATTTTTTTCTGAAAAGTAGGGCACAAATTCATCTCTTAACCATGAAGGAAGGAACTAGATTAATTAAGAGTAGGGGAAACCCTATACAGGGTCACCTGCTATGAGTCAGAAGCGACTCCTCAGCACATAACAACAACAAACTGTGAGAGGAGTCCTGGTGTGGCGCTGTGGGTTAATGCGCCAGAATGCAAAGCTATTTGAACTGCAAAGTCAGCAGTTCAAGTTCATCAGCTGCTCCTCAGAAACCCTATACAGGGTTGCTATGGGTCAGGATTGACTTGACAGCACTTAACAACAACAACGAACTGTGAGAGAATAAATTTCTGGTTGTTAAAAATAAATAAATAAAGCTATCAAGGCAAGCAATCAAATCCCTTCAGGTTAAACTCCCCCTCTAAGACTGAAATTCAAAGGGAACACATGAGCAGGCATGTAAGCTTGCTGGCAACCACATTGGTCTACCGGTGAGTGGAAGAGGGGGGAAGGCAGCAATGAAGAAATGGGCTGAGTTCAACAACATTCCATAGACTCCCACTGATCTGCAGATGAGAGAGAGAAGAGGAAGGGTTGGTTGGTCCAAAGTGTGGTGAGATCTGGGGACACCTGAGCCCACAGACAAGGACATAGCCACGGAGGGCTAGAGTTAAAAGTGAAGCAGCCAGCTGATATGATGTGAGGGGAGACGCATAAGAACACCCAAACATGCAGATAGTATCCATTTGACCTAACCTCGATGGCTTGATAATCAGAATTTGACTAGAGGAAGATAAAAAAAACATTTTTTTAAAAATAAAGGAAATGAGGGTAAATTGCTACAATTTGATGAATTTGACCTATACTCATGGATGTAGTATCTCAAAACACCAACAGAGAGGGCAGGAGTCTTCACTTCAAGTGTCAATGCTATCCTCTCTATACAGGATAGATAGGGACAGGCAACTTAGACATTGGCTACCTAAAACGAGGGGGTGATAAAGGCACGAAGTGATTGGCTTACAAGTTTTCAAAAGGGAGTTTAGTTTGGGGTGGGGGGACGCAGAGTCCCCACTGAATAGTTTTCATCTTGTCTAGACAGGTCTGGTGAAAAGAGATGGGGATAAGATTCTTATGATTCAACAGTAATTGTTATCATGAATAATTGTGATAGTCACAACTGTAAAGGTAGAAGTTTTGTAACACAAACAGAGGAGTAGTTAATCTTACAGTCCAGAAACAGAGTAGCCTAGGACCATGGAGGGAAAAGAGCACAAGTGGAATGCAAGACCCTATCCAGAGAAGTAGCAATACCAGAGATGGAGGCAGAGATGGGGACATGGAGAGAGGGAGCAGCTGAGGACTCTAGATTCATGGGAAGAAAGAGACTGATAGCTGGCAGCCAGGAGGCAGGCTTGCAGAATGTGCCCATTGGTGGTTTAAATAATTATATATGCTTGAATGTTTAAAAAAAAAAAAAAAAGCTAAAATGAAAAGAGAGAAACACTGTTAACTTATGGTAGATGAATGGAGGGGATTACAATCATTGCAATGAAACAAAGTATATGATTTGTTGATCGTAAAATTGATGATCTGCCCTATAAACTTTCACTCAATTCACAATAAAAACTTAAAATAAATAAGTAATATGCAGTCCATGGTCTCATAACCCCAATGTTCACATACCCCAAAAAGCTACCTGCTATACTTTGCTGAAATTGGAGCCCTGATTTAAGGCCCTTTGGAAAAGCCCAACAAATGTTACAAAGGATTCCATGTGACATGGGTTAATCCAATCACAGAGAAAAGTGGTTAGTCTTGAGAACTGACTAAAGGAAAGTTAAGGGAGTAGTTTAAACTCAAGTGAGATTTCTCTAGGGTTTCGGCTCTTAACAATCAGGTTAATTTTAGACAGTGACTAGACAGGCAACAACTGGGATAAGTAAATGAAAGGTGGCCTTTGTTATCTTTGAGGAAGTTTTGAGAAGCTTGAGCCAATTTTATTCTCCAGCCCCAAGTCCTGTTCTTTCACCTCTGTGATAAAATGATATCTATGAAAATGTAACCTATTATAAGTAGTTACAGGCATTACCTGACTGCATGTCCAAGGTGGCCTGCAATTTTGGGGGACAGTAGATGGCATTTGCTGTCGTTCGAGCAGAGGTTAAGGCAGCTCGGGCTTTGGGCAGGTTGCTCAGAGCATGGTATGTTTTGCTTTCTAATAGCTGTACTTCTACCAGAAGGGCTTTGTCATCCATCTTTTTCAACTCCCGCAGCAACTGAGAACCTGGAGAAGGAAAAGATACACAGCCCTATGTTAAGTCGCATCTTAATACCTTAATGTTGTATTTTCACTCTCATAAAAACACACCATGATAAAGAAACCAGCCTGAACTAAAAAAATACGTTACTTAGTATGCCCTGTAATGAAATTACATTTCCCACTAATATGGCATCTTCTAAAACAGAAATACAGAGATTTCACTGAAGCTTTCTGCATCCTAAGGACAGCACTACAAACTTAACTGCAATTTTAAATACAGTGTGAATCTCCACTTGCACTTGTTCTCCAGCTCAGAGAGATGAAAGCATTAAATCTAAGCAAACACACACCTTATACAACAATTCACTCAAATGAATCAAAGGCCTAAAATAAGAATTAAAACTGTCAAACTTTTGGAAGACAGTAAGCGTAAACGTTTGTGACTGGATTAGGAACCAAGTTCAAATTGGTTTCTTAGATATGATATCAAATTCATAAGGAACAAAAGAAAAACACAGGTAATTTGAACTTCATCTAAATTAAAATGCATTTCAAAGGACACTATTAAGGAAGTGAAAAATCCTACAGAATAGGGAAAAAATAATTGTAAATCATATATGTAATAATGGACATATATTATTACAAAAAAACACAACCCAATTTAAAAAGAATTTGAATAATTATTTCCCAAAGTCGACACACATATGGCCAATACATGAATAATGCTCAAAATCATTAGTCATTTGTTGTTGCTAAGTGACACCGCGTAAGGTCCAACCCATAACAACCCTGTATAGGGTTTCCAAGGAGTCACTGGAGGGTTTGAACCACCAACCCTGGAGTTAGCAGTCTAGTGCTTATCCTACAGCACCACACCAGTCTTGTGGAAAATGCAAATAAAATCAATGAGATAGTACTTCACACTTACTATAATGGCTAAAATAAAAAGCCTAAAATACTAAGTGTTTGACAAGGGTGTGGAGCAACTGAAACCCTCATACATTACTGGTGGGATTGTACAATAGTGCAGCTGCTCTGGAAAACAATTTGGCAGTTCGCAAACAGTTACAACATATTGTTGTTGTTGATAAGTGCCATCGAGTCAGTTCCAATTCACAGTGACCCTATATAGGGTTTCTGAGGAGCGAATGGTGAGCTTGAACTGCCAAGCTTAAAGAATATTATTATATAATAAAAAGGAGTCCTGGTATGGCGCTGTGGGTTAATGTGCCAGACTGCAAAGTCGGTTTGAACCGCAAGGTCGGAGGTTTAAGCTTACCAATCACTCCTCGGATACCCTTTACAGGGTTGCTATGGGTCAGAACCGACTCAACAGCACTTAACAACCACAACATAATAAAATGTAATAAATGCTACAACATAGATGAACCTTAAAAACATTATGCTAAGGATAAGAAGCCAGTTTTAAAAAGACAATACAGTGCATAATTTCATTTATATGAAATTTCTAGACTAGACAAATTTATAGAGACAGAAAACAGATTAGTGGTTGCCTACAGTGGAGGAGAAAAGGCAGATGGGAAACTTAGGGAGATTGAGAGTTGATAGGTATGGAATTCCTGAAATGATGAAAATATTCTGAAATTAGAGAGTAATGATGGTTGTTGCACAACTCAGAATACACCAAAAACTGCTCAATTGTGTACTTTAAAAGACTGGATTTTATGGTATGTGATTTATATCTCTATTCTGGTACAGTGCTATAGGATAAGCGATGGACTACAAGGTACGTTTAAACCACAAGGTTGGCAGTTCAAACCTATCAGCAGCTCCTTGGAAACCCTATACAAGGTCATAGGCACTTAACAGCAACCACATAACTGGTTGCTTTTTCTGTTTGTTTTGTTGAACCATATGAAACTGTCATTTTTGCAAGATAAAAAATCTAATATGGGCAATGTTCCCAACATAAGCATTGGTTGTTGCTGTTATAGTCCCAACATAATTATTGTTGGTAAATATCGTCAAGTTCCAACTCACAGTGACCCTGTATAGGGTTTCATGGAGTGCTAAGTGAGTTTGAACCACCGACCTTGAAGTTTAAATGAACCTTGCAGTCCAGTGCTTATCCTAGAGTCATAAAAACCAAGTATTGATAATATTCCCAACATAATAGATCATGAAATTCATGTGCTTTTTTAATCTGGGGGGAAAGTTCATATCTGCCCATTAATTAATTGTGTGTGTGTGTGTGTGTGAGAGAGAGAGAGAGAGAGAGAAACAGAGAGACAGAGAGAGAGAGAGAGAGAACTGTCAAGTCAGTTCCAACTTATACTGACCCTATATGTAGGGTTTCCGAGACGTGGCTGGTGGGTTTGAACTGTCAACCTTGTGGTTAACAATCCAATACTTATCCTACAGCTCCACACCAAGTGTCAGAGTACTATTTCAAGGGGTTTAAAAAGCAGGGCTTCGAGCAGGTTCTTCCCATTTCTGCCACGGTAAGGAAGCAAAACCAGTACAGACCTGGATTTTTATATTTGGGTGAACTGGAATGATAACCGGAACAGAAAAAATTAGGGGGCTGATGTCTTGCTGGAACCTGAATCACCCTCTTAGAAAACAAGGGCAATGTACACACTGCATAGCAACCAAATCGAATTTTGAGCAGTCGGAAGCAGTGATACCCAACTCAAAGATGGCAGCCAACCATGTCATTCTGAATGTTTCACTCTCTAAAACACTGCCAACAATCTAATCTTCTGAATCTATCTGCCTCCTAAAGGGTTCACTATACCTCTTCCCAGTCTCCCATTCCAGAGTTTGACCAGCAATTTTTCCTGTTCCAGTTATCGTTCCGATCACCCAAATCTTAAAAATTCAGGTTTGTTTAAACTGGTTCAAAGCCCTGGTTTAAAGGACACATAGTCTGGTCCCTTCTTCAGTTGGCCTACTCTAGCTTTCATGTGTATCTATATTCAATTAATTGCTGGATTTTTAAGTACAATTATGAACAGATACAGCAAATATGGTAGTAAAACATTTTCAATTTAAATAAAGTAACAGAGATAAAAGATAAGACATTAAAGGAAAAAAATCATTATTACAACAGGGCAGCTTTAACTGTCCAAAATTCAAGTTAACTTAAGAACTGACCCCTTCTGAACTGTGAATTTGCCAAATTAATAGTCAGTTTCTTAGAATTTTTTAATGGCCTTTTTTCATGATAAATTCAGTAAATGAAAGCCACTTTAAACCTTTCTTAAAAGAAAGCAGAATATAAGTCATTAATAGGGGACTTATAGCAACCAGGTTCAAAATTCATCCATTCATCAGCTAAGGTATCTGAATTTCTACCAGCTCACTTACCCAAATGCAATGCTTCCTGGTACCTCTTGGTATCAAAGTACAAAGACACCAGTCTTGCCTGGAAAGAGAAAAGGCATTGATTGACGGGAAGGGGGAAAAAGAGTCAAAGAAAGAAATCAAGGATTAACAGTCACAGAACTGTTATTGTTGAATATAAAGTTCAGATGACAACATCAAATTCAGGGAAAGAAATTCTCTAGGGCACAGTATTATCTTTCATTATGGTGAGTGAGTGACTGACTTGCTAACTTTACCATGTTGCTGCTTTTTCCTCTGAATCAAGCAGGTATGCCTCAAAACTTCAACGTGGGCAATTCTCATATTGATAATAGTGGGACTATTATCAACAATCTTTGGGCACCTTCATAATACAAAGTTGCTGAAAATACTTTTGATCAGGATACATTTTACTTACATCCAGAGTCTAATGCCTGGAAACTCAAACTCAGTACTAATTTAGGTGCATACCTCCAAAGCTTGGCGTAGGAAAGTTCTTTTCTCTGACTTGGCCCATTCGATGCATTCTAAACACAACTCGACCTGCAGTAGAGAGACAGTACATGCAACATTATGTCTTCAAATGCTTCCTACAACTCTAGCTTTGTAAACAGGTCAAATTCTCTTCTTGCATGTTACTCACGTAGTTCTATACAATGTCTTAGCAGATATGCCTATCTTAATGTACAACAGTTCTATTATAACGGAAAAACAACTTGGCTTGTTACACATAAAATATTTTTATGCTTAGATTGTATTCTTTTAGTAAACAGACTCATCTTCAAGACTCCTTTTCTATCTTCCCATGAGAGACCCGGAACTTTCAAAAACACATACTTCCTTAAAAAAACAAACACATACTTCCTTAGAACTAGGATTTCTACAATAACTTAGAGGAGTTTATAAAGCAGAAATTTCTCACTGAAGAGTTTGAAATAGTAATGGTTAATGTGGTCATGTGAATACAGTGGTTAATAAAGTGGAGAAATTCTCCGCTTTAAGCACAAACATCATATTTTTAAAGTTCCTTTAAGACTCAAAAGGTCCAACTGACTATTTCCATTTCAAAATGGAACTGATATTACTCTTGTAGATACCAAAAACTTAGCTTGCATTAAAGGGAGAAAAAAATAAATTAAAATTAGACTAACACTTAAAAGACCTTTCCAGCTTTAAAGGCACTGTGAATCCATAAATGTATCTGCAAGCCAATGATGTCAGGTGAAATGCACCTAATTTTAAAAAGCAGTGTCCATTGCTAGATAGTCTAGCATTTCATCAGGTATCCTTGACAGAGTATATATTAAGTATTGCAGATCTTACATCATTACTGTTAGCACATGTTTGTATTAAGACTCCTAATCAGGGCATGGACTCCTGGTGTGGTGCTGGAGGATAAGCAATGGACAGCGAACCATAAGATCAGTGGTTCAAACCCACCAGCTGCTCCTTGAAAACCCTATACCAAGTCGCTGTAAGTTGGAACCGATTCAATGGCACTTAAAAACAACAATCGGAATAAAACAAACAAATGAAATGAGAAAGTAGGATTTTCACAAGTCCTGGTGTAGCACTGTAGGATAAGCACTCGACCGTAAGATTGGTTTGAACTGAAAGTTTGGTGGTTCAAACTCACCAGCCACTCCTTGGAAATCCTATCCTGCAGGGTTGCTATGAGTTGGAATCGACTCGATGGCGCATAACAACAACTGCAAGTATTGCTACAAAATCATAGATACCTTTATTAAATGAAAATCTCAAAATATGAATCTATCGCTTTTCAATACAGCCTCCATACACATCTATATACTTCTGAAAGTGGTGTTTACAGATCTCTGTAACCCTTCCCAAAAAAACACTGCATTCTTTGATAAATACCGTATCACAACGAAGGTTTTTGCATTCTCAAGGGACTCAAATTGTGTTCCTTTTCAAATGTTCTTTAGGTTTGGGGAAAAAGAAGCCTGGAGGAGAACATCAGGGATGTAGGGTGGATGGGGTAAGGTTTCCCAATGAACAGCCCTTTCTACCCTCAAAAAATGAGAAGGTGCTTTATCGTGATGAATAAAAAAAAACAACTCATAGGTACAACTTCCCTGGCCTTGTCCTCACCAATGCAGTTTTCAATCTCCTTAAAAACTTCTTCATAATAAGTTTATGAAGTCCTGTGTCCTTTCAAAAAAATCTATCAAGATTACCCCTTTATAATTCCGAACTACAGTCACCATAATCTTCTGAGCTGACTGCTCTGCCTTAAATGTGGCCTCGTAGATTCCCTTGAAGGCTACTGTTTTGCTTGGATCTTTTTTTTTAGAAGGCACCCCAATGAGACTAAGACAAGTATATTACTGAGAATTTGTCTGCAGTCATCCACTTAGCACATAGACATGTTTAAATACAGTTTATTTGAAATAAACTTGGACAGGTATGAACTAGAACTCTAGTAGCAATATTTTTTTACTTTCTCTCAATAACAGATTTTTATATACATCTAAGTCTCTTAAGAGTCCTGATGTGGCATTGCAGGATAAGCACTGGACTACAAGGTTGGTTTGAACTGCAAGGTCAGCTCCTTGGAAACCTCATACAGCCTCACTATAAGTTGGAACCAATACAATGGCACTAATCATCAACAATCAATGATCTCTTAAGAGACAACATAGGAAAGAAAAGTAAAGGGACATAACCCAAGTTGACAAGATCTTTTATCTTTTCATCCTAAATTCAAGCTCAGTAAATAAAGTCTTTGGTATTTGGAGGATTTACCAACCAATGAGAGATTTACAACTCCTCATTGGAGCCCCCTGGTGGCTACCCAATCTCCAACTCTACTGACCTAAAAAAAAAAAAAAAAATTAATACTAAAAGCTAGTACTTCTAAAACAGAACTGAAAAATAAAAACAAGTCAATCACAATTTCAGTTTTGAGTCTAATCTGAAAAGTCAGACTCGAAGTATAACATCTGTTTATAAAATGAATGCAACTGAAAATATTTCACCAATCTTTCCAGCAATGAAAGTAAAACAGTATTTAGTCCCACAAGTTCTGAAGGAGCTTTTCCAAAATATATAAAACTGAATGCCTGGGCAAAATTTACCTCATGACAAAATTCAGAAGGGTTGGGAAGAAGGCTGGAATGGAATTAAGAATCACGTTACATGGAGGGGATTGCAATCACTGAGACGGAATGAAGTGCATGATTTGAAGAATGCAATCTGCTCTGTAAATCTTCACTCGATTCACAATAAAAAGTTTTAGAGAACAAAAAACTGTTAGAATTCTACTTCAAGAATAGAGAATGGGAGAACAAACAAGATGGAGGATCGGGTAGAAGTGCAGTAAAGGAGCTCCGCTAACAACAACACAGAATACCCGACCAAGCAGGCTCAGGGGCTAGTCCCAGAACTCTGATCCACATATAAAGGAATATGTAGAAAGTTGGAAGGCTCACAGCTGGGGAATTTGTGGCAGAAGAAATCTATCGCTTTCTAGTCCGGGATGCTCAGCTGCTCCAGGAGCTGCCATCTTGAGTGAGACCACATGGGGGAAGGATC